ATAAATAATTTGTTGCTGACGTCGGCTTTTGCTCTGCTTCCAAGAAAAGGAACGCTTTTTCATTTTATTCGAAATTTGTTCCGAAGTTCATGAACTGGCGTTCCAAGAAACGTTGAAATTTTAATTGCATGCATTCAGAGAATATGAATACTTGGGGTTTTTTTCTTGTTTCTTTGCACTTAATTTAATCGTTTAGGCACTTTTCACTTGAGTTGGTTTTTCTCCAATGTAAAAGCTCTTAAAATATTTATTCATTCATTTTATTTATTTATTTATTCTTTATGTTTTTGAAAAGACATTTTGCTTCCACAGAAATTTCTTATTAAAGTTGCTAAATTTAACTCCATTTCAAACGACTCGTTCTTCATAAAATACTTGATATAAATTTTGCATGTAAGCCATTTTTAATTTATGAAACTTTCTATTCATTTATCAAAAATATGTACTTAATAAGTAATTTTTTGAATTTATTTATTAAGTAATAAATAATTCATTCATTAAAATAATATACATAAAATCGTATTATAATAAATTCAAATTTATAATTTTGAAAAATTAATAAAATTTTAAAAAAATATTTATTTATTTATTATTAATATAATTAATTTATTTCATCAACTTTGTAAAAGTTATGATTTGAGCTTTTTTTGAATTGATTAAATATGGCGCTTTTTAGCATTTTGTATCTTTCATTGTATATCGTTCGAAGGCCAAGTACTATAAAATTTTAAGGTAACTAATATTTTTTTATGAAAAAATATTAATTAAAAAGAATAAAAAAACAAAGTAAAACATTTTTTTTGCATTGCCTATTAAATTGAGTAAATTCAATAAAAATTTTAAAAATGCTGAAATCTGTTCGGCAAATTTCAACTTATCATGTGTGAACAGTCGAGAACGGATGAATAAATTAAGTAATGGGCCAATGTTTAATAATGCAAGAGATATATGAAGCAATTGATTGGAGTACTATAAGAATGTTCAAATTCAATAGCCACATTAATATAGCAATGTCCTCTATAACAGTGTTTCCCAAAAATCCTGGAAGAATGCCATCCCAAATCTATGTTATGTTCCAAGGCGTAGAGCAGTCGCTCATTTCCGACTAGCCACTGGACATGACTGTCTGCGTAAACATCTTTACAGACTCAAAATTGTTCCTTCCCCGATATGCACTCTGTGCAGCTCTGGAGAGGCCATGGACTCCACACATCTACTGCACTGTCCTGCTCTGAGCAAGACTTTTCTCGCCGGGCGATATTGGGAGGCTAGAGATATGTTAGATTAATGAACTCTGTTGCAGCATGTTTTGTTGTTTTCTCTGTTCTTTTTTTAATTTTTCGTTGTTCTGTAACTGTTCATAATCTGCCATTGGAAATAACAAAAAAATATATAGCAATGTTGAATAGATCAAGAACTTCATGAACAATGAATTGTTCAAGAATCTCTAAAAGAATATTCAAAAGTAAAATGAATAAAAGTGATAAATATGAAATTTCAAAAAGAAGGAATTGATCAACGCACCACGAGTACTTATAGGCATTGGAAATACAAATGTTTAAAATCCCAAACGAAAACATGAAAAGTGATTCAAAACCCTACTACAAAACACTTCAATCAAAAGCCAAATTCTCCAGAAAATTCCTTAAGATTTGACGTTATTCATGAATCATTTGAAGAGTTAAGGGATCCAAAATACCAATTTCCGCCAAAATTTGTAATGGAGTTTTATTTGCATGGCCCTCATTTTTGGATAACCTCCCGGACCCCTAACCAGGACAACATCATGCTCACACATAATAAAAAAAAACTCATATTCTAAACTTATATTAAACTAATATATATATATATACACTCAAGAGCCAAAACATTATGACCACCCCTACATTTTGCAATGAACTCGCCTGGATGACGTGGAAGGCACGTGATCAGGTGGAAGTGGTATGTAACTGGTATTAAGTGGTGGTATTAATCCATGCTAAGGCGGGTTGAAGATGTGTTGCGCGCCAAAGGTGGGCCAACTCGTTATTGACATGTGGTCATAATGTTTTGGCTCTTGAGTGTGTATATATATATATATATATATATATATATATATATATATATATATATATATTTAATATTATTATTACCGTTGTTTATATTATATGAAATAGATTAGAATTTACCAAGTTTTTAAAATCTAATCAATTATTTATGCTAACTCTATATATTGCAAGTTTATAAAGTAGAAAAATATCTTTAAAATTTAGACAGCATTGATGCTCTTAGTATGCGCATTATTCTTATTTACCATTACTCTTATGTACCATTTTCTGCCAAAATTTGTAATGGAGTTTTATTTGCTTGGCCCTCATTTTTGGATAACGTCACGGACCTCTAACCAGGACAACATCATGTACAAACAATGATAATTTAAAAAAACAATGATAATAATACAGGACACGAATGATGTAGAACTTTCCAAAAAATTTTATTCAGAATTAATAGCTCTTTCTCGCGATAGTTATAAAACTTTTGACTCTTATATGATCTTCCTTCCTATAAAAGAGAAAACCTTCTATATATAGGACGTTTATTTCCATTTGACACTATGGGCAATCACCAGGGGACTTTTTAACTAGAAATCTCTTTTCGGAATACTTGTATAGTTGAGCGAATATATGTTAAAAATATGGAAGGGCATTATATGTATTTTATAGTGCTGTTAAGATGACTCTCCCTAATGTAAATATAACAGCATATTTAACATTATATTCATTTTCTTTAAGCGGTCTATGATTAAATGGATTTGTTTTATTAAAAGTTAAAGTAATCGATATATTGTTTGTTGTTTTGTTGTTGTGGTTTCTTATCCCACTTGGTTGGCCAAGCCCACGAGCCCATACGCTACTCATGATTGAAGGGGAAGGATGCAGCTTTTGTTGTGATGTAACACCCGTAGGTAGAAGTCTGACTTTGGCTCCGTGACGCTCTTGCAGTCATAGGAGACCGGGACCTACGGCTTAAAATGGATGCCGAACCACTACAAACATCCATGGCACCGCCGGGGTTCGAACCCGAAACTTGTGGCACCGAGCGCCAGAGCGCTAGACACTCGGCAATTCAGGTCCCAAATTTGTTAATGCCAACGGCACGCGGTGTTCCCAGGTGGTCACTCACCCAAGTACTGACCGCGCCCAATGATGCTTGACTTCGGTGATCTAACGAGAATCGGTATATTCAGCATGGTATGGCCGTTGGCATCGATATATTAATGGTAAGAATGAGCGCCTGAATGGCCGAGTGGCTAGCGCTCTGGAGCTCGGTACCACAGGTTTCGGGTTTGAATCCCGGTGGTGCCATGGATGTTTGTAGTGGTTCGGAATCCACTTTAAACCGTAGGTCCCGGTTTAACATGATCATAGAGCGTTGCGGGGGCATTGTCACTCCGCGTCCGTGGCTTATCTACAAGTTACACGCGCCCTCAGGGTAGTGCTAATAGAGTAACGTCGGTGCAGCGCTTCCCTTAAGGCATCTAAGATAATTGTCTAAGTGTTTGCCAGCTGCATTAGAACAAAAAAAAATATAGTAAAAATGATTTAAGATGCATCTATACACTCAAGAGCCAAGACATTATGACCACCTGTCAATAACGAGTTCGCCCACCTTTGACGCGCAACACAGTTTCAACCCGTCTTGGCATGGATTAATACCACCACTTAATGCCAGTTAAATACCACTTCCACCTGATCACGTGCCTTCCACGTCATCCAGGCGAGTTCATTGCAAAATGTAGGGGTGGTCATAATGTTGTGGCTCTTGAGTGTATAATATGAAAATAAATTTAATGGCTTGCATCTGGCCCATAAGTTTAATAAATTATGGCTTCTATTAAACTGGCATGTAATTAATTCATCTCTTTTTAAAAAAATCAAACAATTAAATGCCATAAATCATTTGTATATTGAATGTTCCTGCTTTAAAAAAAATTATGTATTATCTCAAAGGCCTTTTCGAATAAATAGATTTTGATTTTATGGTTATTCAAAGTAAATAAATTCTTTCGAATTTTCAATAAAAAACAATTAAGTGAAAAAATTATCTTTCGAATAAATATGTCTATTAAAAAAAGAATAAGGATTTCTGATGCTTTTAATTTTAAAACCATTAGAAATCCTTATCTTTCCCAACTTAAGTATAATTATAAGAGATTTACATATAATTCATAATAATTAATTAAAGCAGGGGTTTTTCAGAAAAATATTATATTTTTGTAAATTTTTTTAAATGTCTTAAAATACATTATTTTTAATATAGAAAAATATGGCCAAACAATGTCTTGAAGCATTCCAATTTCTAAGACTTTTGGGTACTTACGTATTAACGCTACCTTGGCTACAGATTTGGCGGTTTTTAAGTGTCGCCAATCTAACAGCTACAGATTTGCTGATTTTTGACGCCATTTTTTAGTGCTACGAAAATGCGTATTTGGGATTTGCCGGAAAGAAAAGAAGATGCAATTTTACTTTTTCAGGAGTGAAATATTTTACCAAAAAAAACGAAAATGTCCCAATTCCCATGACATGAAACTTTATTTTGGTAAACGTAAGTTTTGGAAATGCAATTTCAGTCAGTGTGCTTATCATGTGGGACTTAGAAATGACAACTGGTTTGAGGGAAGCAGAATTCCATTTAAAACCGCCAAATCTGTAGTTGCGGTTGGCGTTCAAAAGATAACTGCGTGCGCGTGCTAACAGCAAGATTGCTCTTTATTGGCGCAACTGTAGCCAAGGTAGCGTTAATACGTAAGTACCGATTTTTGCTTTCGGCGATTTTATCTGTTACCAGCATCGACGTACCAGTGATAGATTAAATTAACATAGAATATCCATATTTAATTTTAATGAAAATCTGAATCCATATTTTCTGGACTTTTTCTAAATTGTTATTGCAATCAATTAGGTCATAAAATATTTTTGACTTTTTTTCCATTAAGCTTGTTAAGATATTTAGTCGCCAACGGCTATACCAAGCTGAATATACCGGTTCTCGTTAGATCACCGAAGTCAAGCATCATTGGGCGCGGTGAGTACTTGGGTGGGAACACCGCGTGCAGTTGGCATTCACAAATTTGGGACCTGAATGGCCGAGTGTCTGGCGCTCGGTGCCACAGGTTTCGGGTTCGGATCCCGGCGGTGCCATGGATGTTTGTAGTGGTTCGGAATCCATTTTAAGCTGTAGGTCCCGGTCTCCTATGACTGTAAGAGCGTCACGGAGCCAAAGTCAGACTTCTACCTACGGGTGCTCCATCACAACAGAAGCAGCTGCCTTCCCCTTCAACCATGAGTACGTATGGGCTCGTGGACTTGGCCAGCCAAGTGGGATAAGAAACAACAACAACAAGATATTTTTGAGTGTTTCCTAGATAGAAATACCCATGAATTATATACTATCAGTCTTTCGTATTTTTTTAAAGTTAAAAAAGAAATCGTCATAGTATATTTTTATTCAGAGTAAAGTATTGCCTTAAGTAGAATTCTGTAATATTTTTTTTCTTTTTAAATGATGCATTAATTAAGATACGTTAGAAATTACCACAATTAGCTATTTTCCTTATTAAAAAAATTTTAGAATAAAAGTTTATAATCATATATATTCATGTGATTGCCGAATTTGATAGAGGTTTATACTTATAGTCTTATTTATCAACAGTGTTTAGGGACTTTATAGTCAATGCTGTCTTTTGCTGCTTTTTGTTCGAATCTTGATGTTGGCATAATGGTTCGGAATCCACGCTATACTATAGGTCTAATAGGCCTATATACTCGGTCTAATTAGCCTAAAGTGTGCACAAAGTGACCGTAGAACGATGAACCAAACTAAATCTACAGTCTTTAACAAATATGTTTTTTAAGAGCCCATATTTAGAATATAGGGCCCTGATGGTCGAGTGAGTAGCGCCATGGCACTAAGTGCCACAGGTTTCGGGTTCAAGTCCCGGCGGTGCCATGGATGTTTCTAGTGATTCGTTAAACCGTGGATCCCAGTCTAATATGAATGTCGAGAATTGGTCGTAGGGCTGACCGGTAAAAAGAAAAACAACATCTCATATTTTGGAATCTGCCATTAGGCAGAAAGCCTTGGCCCACCATGGGGCCGTTGCGCCACTGATGATGATGATGATGATGATATTTAGAAGAAAAACAAATGAAAGAAAAATCTTCTTAATTCAATTTAAACAGATAAGCTTGATTAATTACTGACTACATTAAACTTTATAATGATAATAAACGAATAATAATACTAATTTCAAGGTCATAAAGATGATAATTCCTATTCATAAAGAAAAGCCTGAATCATGTATGACTGCATTAAATGTAAGGTTTGAAGTTATAAAACTGAGTTTAATAAATTATAATTACTCTCTACTTCGAAAAATAAAAATAAAAGAGAAATTTCTCTACTAAGTCTAACAATCAATATGATATTTATCGATTGACAATTCCCTCAAACAGGTGATTCCACTCCAATAAATTATCTGAAGTTATTTATTTTGATTTACGTCTGCAATATTTCTCAAGCTCCTCTCGATTAGCAAAATGGCGGATAAAATCAATGGAAACAACATCTTGGGACTCGACAACATCTTCATCCAAGATGTCAAGAATCTTAAGCGTAAACAAGGGGCATGTAAATTAACTTATTGACACTTATATATATTTACTCTAGAAACGTCCCTTGAAAATGGGTCGCACGTTGAAATCGATAAACGTTGCCATGACAACTTGGAAGTTGGCTTCCTTAAAGTAGAATATTGCGCAAATGGTATCAGTTATAATACCATAACATTTTTTGATGTGAAGAAAGATATTTCTGTAGAAGCCCTATTTCCTCAATGCGCACTTAAATGCAATCAAAAAAATTTCTTATATAGATTTTTTGATTTTTTTTGTTTAAATGCCACAATAAGTTTTCTAAACAAAGAATGCTGTAGAATAATTATTCTGCATTTGAACGATTTCTTAACACTTTGGCATTTGCGAATGTTATTTCTGTTCTTGTTTTTCGTAGGATAGTCCTTGTGCTACTTAGAAAAACTGTTTAAACAATACTTTCAGTACTTTTTTAGTATATCAACATATATTATTGTATTGTTCTGTTTATGAGTACGTAGAATGACGTGAGATTTTTTTTTTTAATTTGTATGTTCAAAGTGGTAAATTTGTATGGTCCTTATTTAAAAATACATAATATATTTTCAATCAAAAAATTTTTCAAAAATGAAAAAAAAATTTAATTTTTTAAATTTTATTTTTACAAATTTTAATATTTTCATTACAGTTTTTTTTTTAAATATCTTTAAAAATTTTCCAAAATTTTATGCACAGAATTAAATGTACTGGGATTATTAATTTTTTTTAAAAAATGTGTTTCTTTTTAAACACTTTGAAAAACATCAAAAATTAGCTAAAATTGTTTTTGTAATTCTTTTAAAAAAATAATTGTTTACATAAGTTTTCACTCAGAATTTTCAAGCCTATCAATCACGACTCAATTATTTGTATTAATTACAAAAACTACTTTTATATGCACTTATGCTATTCCTGTAGAAACCTTAATTCAGAATTGCACATTTAAATGCAGTTAAAAGTTTTGTATAGCATTTTTTATTTGTTTATTTTTTGTTTAAATGTAACAATAAGAGTTTTCTAAACAAAGAATGCAGTAGAAGAATTATTCTGCATTTGGAAGATTTCTTAACAGTTTGACATTTGCAAATGTTATTCGATTCTTGTTTTTAATAAGCTTTTATTAGTTTCACCTGTATTTTTGTTTGTTTGTTTGTTTGTTTGTATGTTCGTATGTATGTAACCGACTCTTTGAGCTCGATTTTGCCATACTTTAAGCGATCCGATTTAATTTAAACGTTGTAGACTTATCAAGGACCGACTACAATAAAATATTTTGATAAGTTTATTATCTCATCATGATTAGGATCGCCAGGATTAGTGATTAAAGCACACAGCCTTTGAAAAGTCATCTTGATCGGCATATCATTTTCCCCTGGAGATCTGTTTCTCCTCATACGCACTATTGAAGCTTCAAAGAAACATTTACAGTCATCTTTCAGACATTCAAACCTACGTGGGACAGCGGCACAACGGATAATGCGCCTGATTAGGAGATTCCCTGTTCGAATCCTGGCTGGCTCGACATATTCGCATTTAGCCTTTGCTTTACTCACAATTAAATCATTGTAAGAACCAGTCCTCCGTACAGGGATCTCATTTAAATATTATAGTTTAAAAACACTAAACAACATGCTTTTAGAGTAAATCAAACTAAAAAGTAAAAAATAATTGTTAACATAAGAATTAAATTACTGACGAGAAAATGAATGTCACTGTTTTAAAAGTGTGGGGTGCTCGATATCAATAGTTATAATTTTTCACTAGTTTCATTCCGAAATGCAGAGTTAGTTTAAAAATGTCACACAAAGCACCCCACAATTTTAAAACAGTGACATTAATTTTCTCGTCAGTCATTTTATTCTTATGTTAACAATTATGTTTTACTTTTTAGTTTGATTAACTCTAAAAGTGTGTTTTTTAGTTTTTCTAAACTATTAATTTTCCATAGGATAGTCCTTGTTCTATTTAGCAAAACTTTTAAATAATACTTTTTAGTATTTAGTCAATTTAGTATATTTCCGTAATGTTCAGTTTAAGAGTACATAGAATAACGTGAGAATTGTTTTTTTTATTTTTTGTGTTCAAAGCGACAAATTTGTATATTTTTTATTTAAATATACATAAAATACATGTTTAAAAAAAAGTATTGTTTTCAATCAATTGAACTAAAAATTAATTATTTTTCTTTTTCAAAAATTAAAAAACAAATTTAAAATTTTTAATACTTTTATAAATTTTAATATATTCATTCGTAATTTTAATATTTAATTTTTCTAATTATCTTTTAAAAAATTTCTACAACTTTGTGCCCGAATTTAAATGTACTATAGTTATTAATTTAAAAAAATTTCTCTTAAACACTTTGAAAAACATCAAAAACGAGCTAAAATTGATTTTGCAATTCTTTTAGAAAATTAACTATTTACAAAAATTTTCACTTAGGTTTGAAAATTCTGTAAAAATTCTATTATAAAGAATCACAAAAGACTCAATTATTTGTGTAAATTACAAAAACTGCTTTTGTATGCACTCATGCTATAAACTTCTATTGATATTCGTCTGATTATCTAAAATGAATAATTAAAATGTGATAAAGCCCAATTCGGTAAAAACTTGAATCAACCCAAAAAATAGTTGCCTGGTGAAAACAATTGCAAGACATCATCAGTATATTAAAGATAAGATTTTAAATCTGGCTTAATATGTATCATTGTAACAGTATGAAAAAAAAAACTGTATTGTAATGATACATGAAATAAAAGATTCTGAGTATTCTTTGTGTCTGCACGTGTATTCTTTGAAAAAAATTGCGATTGATATTGGCTTTAATGCACAAAAGTCTATGATCTCGGTAAATTTGTAGAACAGAATGTCCTTTCCTTGGGCTCTAAGAAAGTACAAGCCTTTCAGATGGTATTCCTGGGGGATTGGTAGTTCACAACTGCGATGGCAAAATAGGAATACAATACAGAAGCTCCCTTCATGTGGTACACTCTAGATATGGCTGGATCGGTTTGATTTCTTTTGTCCTAGTATTGTTTTTTCGAATGTTGAGGCACTTTAATTATCCTAAAGTCAAAGTGTACCAACATTAAAAAAAGCGCTTTCAAAACTTAGGTTTAGAAAAATAACTTTAATAGCCAATATTCAATAAATATTGTAATATTTTGTTAATATGTAAGTTTCCGTTGGATTAAAATACTTACATAATTTGAATGGGACAAAACAAAGTTTGGTCAGACTTAAACTACAGTTTGAGTAAAACTTAAAACAAATAAAAATATTTTGTTATAAATATAGCAACAGCATTCTCTGAAAATGTCAGAACCCAATCAGTATACTAAACTCACAAATTAAGAATAAACTAATTTACTGAGCTTGCTTTCATTATATCTTAATCTCTGAGATCCTT